GTGGGGGATCACGGGGAGAACAGTGTAGTAGAGAGAAGGCACATAGTGGATCTGTGGCATCTTGCTTCACTGATAGACAGTGACTGCATTGGGGTCTGGGTGGGGACTTGATAATATGGGTAAATGTAGTAACCGCATTGTTTTTTTAACATGAAACCGTCATAAGAGTGTATATCAATCATACCTTAATAAAAAATATTTAGTTGTTTATATGTCTCCTTTTCTACTAGATACTTGGTTCACGTGGGGCCTGTAAGTTTTGTTTGAGTGCTTAAATAAATCAAGCACATAGAAAGTGTTCAACAAATGACCATTGAGAAGTGAATGAATGAATAAGAAATGAATGCACACATATAAAATCATTCACTTTTATCTTTCCATTGCTTTCTGGCTCAAGTTTTTACTCTTACATAACTTCTTTAGAGTATTCCTGTAAATAATAGTGTCCTTGTGTTGACTCTGGCAAGCAAGTAATTGTGCTTATTCTTTGTCATGATGGTAAGGGCATGAGTATATATTTTCTGAGAGAATGCATCCATCTTCCTCCACCATTCCCATGCAGTTCCCACTCTTTGGTCCTCATTCCTAAGGACTTAATGTTATTAATTGGATTTTCTCAGCAACTGTTAACCATGTTTACTCATAGGTGATGTTATTTCTGTTTTCTGAGAAAATTGAGGTTCACAGGTAACTGACCAAAGGTCAACAAAGCAAAAACTTCCAGATCCACAGTTTAAAACCAGATCAGTAAAATGTAAAGTTCATTATTTCTCTTTCCACCCTCTCTCACTGCCTCTTGTATATGACAAAATAGGGATTCTACTTGCATTAAATGTGTTGCAGAGGGAGGAGGAAGCGACTGAGCTCGCCTGGCAGGGCAGGGATCAGGAAGTTACTATCACAACAGGAATCCCTTGGAGAAAAGTTAGACTCACATACAAATGATTCTGATTAAATACCATGGTTTATGTGGTCCAGAGTTCATTCTTTGATTTGCACAGTAGTGTTTCACTGTTGAAAATTACCTTATTAGCATAACAACTAGAAAAATATGGGATGATTAAACCATCCCATAAGTCAGCAACATAAGATAGCTCTCAAAATTTTCTCAGTAAATTGCATAGCATTGTTACCTAATCTATCCCAATTCTTTCTTTATCAATAGTTTTGATTAGATATTGAGGAAATTACTACTTTCTGTCATATTTTATAAAACCTGTTTTTATAGCTGCAAATATTTAAATTTTCCAAGTTCCCACCATCTTAACAGCATTACTTTTGCTTTTCTATGTTTCATTCCATTCTTTATCTACATGTTTCAGAAGATATATTCAATCTTTACATGTTTCCATAGCATATTGTGATAGCATTTTTATTCTGCCTTTTATATTTAAAATTTTCTTTGTTGTAGCAATAAAGAAAAACTCAGTAGACTGAGTATTTCAAATATTAATGTGTATTATTCCCAAATCTTACTTATTTTCTTAGTTTGATGCTATGGTAAAATGACAGTTGAATGGATGTTTACTGACGTGGACTGATAACTTAAATAGATATAATAAAACTTGTCAAGGAAGTGGATGATCCTCTGGCAATAGTGTTCTGGTTAAATAAAAGTTTTTTTTTAACTTATAAAAGTTTAAGGACATGGAAGAAAGTTGAACATAAAATTGACCAGCAATCTAGGATTATTACTTAATAAGCTATTACTTTTGATCTTTGCAATATATATATATATATATATATATATATA